CAGCATATAGAGTATTATAGGAGGAAGTGACAGAAACTGTGGCTGCCAAGATTGTTCTCAAACTCTGAAGAGATTTGGATGCCAAGAGCTCTGGGTTTTGTTCTCCAAGAAAAAAGAAATCTCAAAGTCTTTAAAGATAATAAATGATTTTAAAGATAGGTTTGAGATGTGGACAAGATGTCAAGGGGGAAACAATGGTCAGGAAGTTATCACATGAGGCCAAACAAGAGATTACGGGGCTCTGAATTGTGTATTCTCAATGAGGGCTTCTCAGATGTATGCCAATGAGAGTCCTTTCCAAGATGGAGCCGAGAGGACTTGGGTGGTGTTTGACTGAGAGAAGCCCAGTGTAGGAGAAGAAAAAAATCTTGGTGTGAGGCATTAACTAGAACAAGATACAGTGGTGAGAGAACAGGTGTTGTTTTGTTTCTTAATTAAAACTTTTTACAAGAGGTATCTGGAAGAAAGAAAACATAAATTTAATTTTAAGATATTAAATCTGATATCCATGCATTTCCTATTGTTGAGGCATGAACCTCAGAGAGAAGTCTGATATTGGAAGTAAGAATTTGAGTATGACAGTAACATCAGTAATATCTGAAGCCATGCCTGCCTCGAAATCAGCAGGTGGAGCATTTCATCTTACCAAAAGAGAGTATTATGTTAAAGGGGATTAAGAAAAAATAATTTAAGAAATTTTTTTCCCTTTTACTCAGTAGAGCCCAAATTGCAAATAAAGGTATGGTTTTAAAGATGTTTTGAGTTGTTATAAATGTAGAGTTTTAAAGTATTTTAAAAACTCAGTAGGCAAAAAATACTCAGGAGAAACAAAAAATATATAATTAGGAAAAATATTTTTATTCTCCAAATATATTAAAATTTAACATTTAAGATGCCAATTTGGTAATGCTTTGTTAAAATTGATTTTTCTGAGGGTCAAAAATACTATGATATGCATATGAAATCAGTGATTGGGGCAACTGGGTGGCTCAGTCAGTTAAGCGTTCGACTTCAGCTCAGGTCATGATTTCATGCTTCATAGGTTCAAGCCCCACATCAGGCTCTGCACTTGGAGCTTGTTTGGGAATCTCTCTCTCTTCCCCTCTCTCCACCTTCCACTCCTTCTCTCCCTAAAAAAAAAAGAAAAATTGGTGACCAAAAAATTTGTGTCTGCAATCCAATTTTACTACCTCAAAGGTACATTTCTTTTAAATTTAATTATGGTCATATTAACAAAGAGATTCAAAGTTGAGTGTGAGAAACCTATAGAAAAATATATTTTTTTAAAAAATTTTATTGTTTTGGTCAATAATTAAATGGCAGACTGTTACATTTAAAGTTGAAATTATTTTCATGTTTGTTAGAGAGCACATATGCATGTAAGCAGGGGAAGGGCAGAGAGGGGGAGAGAGAGAATCCCTAGAAGGTTCCAGGATGTCAGCACAGAGCCCGATATTAGGGTCAATCCCATGAACTGTGAGATCATGACCTGGGCCAAAATCAAGAGTCAGACACTTAACCAGCTAAGCCTCCCAGGTGCCCCAAAGTTGAAATTTTTAAATGCTAACTCTGTACTTTTATTTTTGATAATAAAACTTTATGGCCATCAGGAAGGATTTTAGAGCACATGACTTTACAATGTACATGGTTACTTCTTCCCATTCTTGCCAACCACATATCTATACTTATTGGGACTATATTTTGTGTTTTTATTTAAGCCAATAGTTTTCAAATCTCTATTGTTTATAAAATCATGTGTGTGTGTGTGTGTGTAAATAATGCTACAGAGAGAGTCCGTTAATATCATAACCTGTTATTCTGAGTTTGATAAAACTCTGAGTAACAGCTATCTTGCTGTGGTTGTGGATTCTCAAGTCAGAAACACAATCTAACTTCTTTGTTATTTTGCATCTTATTATTAGGCTACTTGGATTTGATCAAAAGATGTTTTTTTCCTTATTATCTTAGTGGGTTTGGGAGCATCTTTGCAAAGAATAGTCTTCTGTACTGGCGTCTTAATTATTTGTATGGCCAGCAAGGGGAGGAGATTGTACGGAATGCTCCTAACTGAGCAAAATAAATGACTTCCTGAGTGTTACTATATATATATGTGTGTGTGTGTGTGTGTGTGTGTGTGTGTGTATGTCAATGGAATTGTCAATCACTTCTCATCATCTCAAATAATAAGTACATTTGCTTTAAGTGCAGACTGCTTTTTTTATAAGCAATTTAAATGGAAGTTTTGATTCTCTCAGATCTTTTATGAATTTCCCCAGAAACTCTTAGCAATGTACTTAGTTCTTGAACACTTGCTACCAAATGGAAGAAGAGAAGCTTTTAGAAAGTAAAGATGTTTCCCAGTAGTTTATATGTGAAATAAATTGTACTCTCTTGCCCCATCTGTACTAGTAAAACAAAGGAAAAATTCAGAGCTGTAACTTAAGTAAAAATGCTTCTGTCATACAGAACTATGAAGAACACGTAAAGATAGGAGAAATCCAGTAAAAATCTTGCACAAAGCTCAGGCAAATTGATGCCTGAATTATCCATGTGTTTACTATTTTGCAGTGATAAGCTTCTTTGAAGTCTGTGCAAGTTTCTTCACCTTAAAAAGGTGGATCACAAGTTCCCTGACCAATGATGAACTAAGAATGTAATTCAGTATTGATGCAACACTGCCTTGCAAATTCTAATTGCTATAATGATGGCAAGGTAAAGACAAAAAGAAGAAAGGTATCTGGATTACTAAATCTAGCAGTACATTTTATTGGAAATTTCTAACTCTAGATATAGAAAACTTAATGAAAACATAAAATAAACATAATAGATGATAGAAGATATAGTCTCAGAAAATGTGGAATTCTTGGGAGATATAATAAAGACAATGTTTTTTGGAATCTATTGTCAAAAATTTGAGTGAATCAATCAAACTTCATTTTTCTTTTTTAAAAAAGTGTCTATCAAAAGTACTTGAGTAAAGGATTCTTTAGGCATCTGCACTTAGGAATTCAATCTGTATGGTCCAAGTACCTGTCAGGTTCTGCAAACTCAAGTTTGTCTCTGTCCAGTTTCTGAGGATAAGGTACAAAAAAAGTACACACCAGTCTTCCCAGAGACATTGACAATATCAAATCATTCCCAGTCTTGCCCTCCATCTATAAGTAATCACACATCCTATAACAAGCCTGTATTTTGTGAAATGTGCATACGTCTATACATCAAGGCTGTATTTATTGATAAGGCCAAAACCTAATTACAGAAGTTACTATAAGCATTTCTTTAATTTGTTGTATACTGTTAATCAAAGAATCTGAATCAAAGCAACACTGAATTATCTAGTATACTACTGGTGGTCATTAAATTACTGATGCTGTCTTATTTTTATGGAGTTTTTAAGAGAAAATTTGAAGTATGTCTCATAAAAGCCAGGATAGGCTTTTGTCTGATTTTTGAGGGAAATTTATTTCACTGCCTAAACATGCAGTCTTATAAAATATTAACATTATCCTGTTTTAAAAATAATCTTCATAGCAACCCAGGGGAAAGCTGTCTGCCTTGAGAAGTTTGGGAACTAATAATAATTAAAAGTTGCTTACAGAGATAAAATGTGACTCTAGGGGATATTTATTTTTTATCTCATTAAAATCTATGCTTCTTTGAAACCAATAACAGCAATCGTTCATAAGAAAAACACAAATTAACTTTATATTAAACTTTTGCCCAAAAGATACTGCAGACCAGATTTTATAGGGGCTTTCATATGTTTTATTTCCCAACATATAGTGGACTGCCAAGAACATTAATAATGCAAATCTGTGTTTGAACACAAATGACTCCCTACAAGGCCTGTTTTGATTATTAATGGAATTAATTATCTGCCCGCTCCATGCAGTTACTTTGGTTTGGAATAACAGTTAATAATGAAAGACTAAGGCAAATTTTAAAAATAGCATGTTTAATGATACAAATTAATTCTATCCTACAAAGAATCAATGAGCAAATACTGTGGAGACAATGCCTTCTCTCTGCTCTCTTTTTACTAGTCATTAAGAAAAGTCTTTCCTGTGAGTGTATTTTATTGTCATTTTTCAAACACAGAAAAATAGACTGGGATGTTCAGAAAGGCCACCAATTTTGCCAAGCTGAAACTCAAATTTTATCATGTTGCCCAAGTAATTTTCAGTCAAGAAACTGGGAAGTTATGCAAGCAGTGGAACTGTTTGAGGCTAGTCCCTTCCTAATCCAAGATTGCTTTGAAGTATCCAATATTCTGCCTTCTTTCAGAGTTTCAATAGCTACGTGTCTTTACAGAAGGAATACTTCACACAACCCAGTGGTTTTCACAGTGCTTTAGATGCGGTGATTGTATGAATGTAGACTAAAGTAAAGAAGGCCTGGTCTGGGTAAAGAGGAAGAACACGGCATAATGGCACATCTTTGTGTCCTTGTCCCACAGTCTCCGGAAAACTCTGACACATTTCCTCCAGAAGCCTTACAGTTCCATGGAGCATAGTTAAAATCTATTTCTTTATAGAAAAGAGAAGTCATATGCATAAAAAAATCCATGGGTAAACATCATGAATTCACCTATCAATATTCTGATAAGCATTACTCATTTAATAAGCTTAAGCTGAATATAGAAGTATATAAGACCTGTCTATGTTCTACTGTGGAGGAATATATATGTATTACATAGTATAATAATATAGTATATAATTCACTTCTGGGCTATTGTGAACAACTCTCTTTGTGTAATTTTAAACTTGGTTGGAATTTGCTTGCAAATTTTGCTCCATCTCCAATCTGTCTCACGTTGTTACTTTTTTTTTTTAGTTTATAGCCAAGTTGTTGAAAATGTGCATATATGCCAACTTAATGTTGACCATATATGTATATATTTTCTTATTCAGTGCAGACCTGTAGACAATGATCAGATAGTTCTGGTCAAGGTGAAATAGCACAGTGATTTGACATATAATGGAATGCTGTTGTCATTGCAGGACGAATCTGCCCCAGCTGACAAACAATGTAAACCAGAGGCGGCCCAGGCCACTTACTCAACCTCAGCTGTTTCGGGCTCCCAGGAGGTGTTGTACATCAACGGAAATGGTACCTACAGTTACCATAGTTACAGAGGTCTAGGAGGGGGACTGCTCAATCTGAATGATGCTTCCAGTAGTGGTGAGTCTTTACTATTTATTGTGTTTTTTCTGTCCATTTGGGGATAGCAAAGTCTCTAAATCTGAGAGAAGAAAATGAATATGCTGTGAATAGTGCCAATCTGCTAAAAACAAGACCATTTAATACAGAATATTTGTCTCCCTGCAAGAATATCTCCCTGTTCTGTAGCTGTTTCCAAAAGTGGCAGCACTGTTGCACAACTGAATACTTGCCATTTGTACTCAACAAATCTCAACTAGTGAAATAGTTTAAAAAAATTTTATCAAATAGTTATACATTCTTCCCCCAAAGCTGTAGTGCACTATTCATCAAGAATAATGACATATTTTCTCAGTGTTCAAAGAGGCTTTTAGTTTGGAAAATATGAGGCACCAGAAACTTTACTTGATAAAACACACACAGCAAACCTAAGAACACACACCTGGAAACAACGCGTAGAAACAACCAGTGGCTCTCCGTGCTCCCCCAGCACTGGATGGTGTCCTGGGGCCAGCTCATACTGGCTCATTCTTCACACATTGTTAGGAACTTCTTGAGCTTATATATCAAAATGAATTGCAAATATGTAATATAAAAAGAATAAAATATGTGGGTGAATTTCTTGTTACTGAGTCATAGGAAAGGCTTTCCTAAACTATACTTAAAATTCAGGGAAAAAATAAGTTTCATTACATACACACACACACACTTTTGCATGACATAAAAAACACTATGTGCAAAGTAAAAATAAATCATATTGGGAACATTATTAGCTACCTATACTACAAAAGGTTAATAAACCAATACATGAAGTTCTTCTAAAAAGAAATACCCAAAATTATATATTAAAAATAAGGCTAGAAAATGAACTCACAATTCCCAAAGAAAGCAATGCAAATGTCCCTGAAACATGGGTAAAATTACTCCACCCCAGCCACTCCTAATAAAGAGAAATGCAGATTAGCAAAAATCCAAATGTTTACACAATATTCTTTTGACAAGGCTGTGTATGCCTTGTATATGTATATTCAGAAGGCTATTTGTTGTAGTGCTATTTATTAATGCAAGAAAAAAGGATTACTAATAAAAATGTCCACAATAAAAATACCTATCAATTGATGGCTCGTTGACTCATTTTGAGTACATCTGAACAGGAGAGTAATAATCAGCTATAAAAAGTGGTGAAAAATCTCTTTATACACTCCAAGTGGTGAAAAGTTCCTACAGTATGCTAATATTCATTGAAGAAGGATTTATGTAATTTTTTTAAAAAGTTGATATAGAAGCAGGAATGGGGAAGAACAGCATGGGGAAAGGAATATAAACCAGAATTCTGAAAGCATAGTAGGTTTTATATTTTGTTTTAAAAATTTAACTTTCAACAGTTTAAATACATAGTTATAAGCCAAACCGACTAAGAATTCCTGATATTGAAAGTAAAATAATGCAAATGAACTTTATGTGTTTCATGAGTGGTTGGCATAGCCCCCACACAGAGGAGCTCTTCCAAGGGATCTCAAAAACCATAATTTGATTCCACAGCATGAATGCCTATGATAAAACCTTAAACTATTTTCAGTAACCATATTATTATTTGGGGGCAGTTGTCTGTGTATTGTGGTTTAAAGCAAATTTATAATGTTGATGTCAGTGAAAGTTGGGATTTTTAGCAAGGGGCAAAGTAAATATAGACATAAAAGCAATATGTTTAAGCAAGAATTCCCATAATCTTGTATTTGAATTGGTAGTATCAGTGAGAATTCAATGCATTTCTTGTTTTAAAAAAATACAATTCTTCTTCCACTGAAAATGCCTGAAAACAAAGACCAATTTCAATTTTAATATTTGAATTAGGCTTGGTGGGCTTTTGATATATTTGGGAGCAAATTGCATTATTAATGTCAAAGGAGTATATACACAAGAAAATAATTTACCTTTATAATACTAGAAATAGGCTATGAGTGTGTTCAGGGGTTAACCTTCCTTGAAGGATGGGGCTCTTTGGTCTGCTTTAAAATTAAAGGTGCTCTAAGGACAGAATCACTGAGCTTTCATCTGAAGCAGTTGGGTGGAGCTCAAAAGAGGGGTGCCCCAAGTCAAAAGGAAAAAAAAACATGTCATTTCAGAAAGAAACTTTCAAGTGAATATTCAGTTTTTTCAATGCTAGAGGCCTTCTAAGCGTTTTGCAGCTTTATTTGTAGTTAGTCCACAAATCAGAAGGAAAAAGAAAGTTTAATACCAGGAAGCAAAAACATAAACAAAACCTGAGCATTCCTTTTAGCCTATAAAGCTGGAAACTAACAATTCTTTTTAAATATTTGGGAAGTAAGTACTGATAGGTATTTCAGGACTTAACCACCATATCAAAAGAATTGCAGGGTGAGGGGGAAGTGCATTGACTATTGATTTTATTGATAGATAGAAACTGTATTGTTTCGTCTTGAAAAATCATTCAGTTATTAAATTATTTAACATTGACTAATAACAATAACTACCACTTACTGAGTCCTTATGGAATTTCAGTGTAGTCTCTGTTTACTCCTTACATGGTCCTCTGAGATATGTTTTGCAATTCTGTGGAAAAATTAATTGTGTCTGCCCCAATTAAAAAAAATAGTAATGCCTAGACACCACTTGCTTTTTTCCTAATATGATTGAAACCTGTTTTGTGAGTCTCAGAGACATGAAGTGACTTTCCCAATGTCCCTCCTTAATAAAGGGAGGCACCAGGATCTGAGCACAGGCTTTCTGACATTAGAGATTTGGAAGCAGACATCAGAGGCCACATTGTAAACCACTGAGCTAACAATCTGTGTAAAGGAAGCAAGTACTAAAGTATGTGATACAGTTTGGTATAAACTAATCTACTTTTTGTCTCCAGAAACACTTCTATTCTGTACGTTTAATGTAATGAATGAATCATACAATATGTGGTCTTTTATTATATCAGGCATCTTTCAATTAGCATGATGTTTTAAAGGTTCATCTATATTAAAGCATGTATCAATACTTCATTCTTTTTTATTGCCAAATAATGTTCCATTCTGTGGCTATGCCATATGCTATTTAGCCATTAATCAACTGATGGGCACTTGGATTTTTCTCACGTTAGGGTTACTACAAATAATGCTATAAACTTTTATGTACAAGTTTATGTATATATGTTATGATTCTTTTGGGTGTATACCTACAAGTGGAATCACTGACTTACTCGTATGGCAACTCTATGATTAACATTTTGAGGAAGAACTCAAATGAGATAGATGTCTTTTCATTTATTATCAATCTTAAAATTTTTTTTCTTAACTATGTCTTATAATACAGTACAAGCTTTACACTTCTTTGCTATTTCCTTTTGTGATGCTATTGTAGATGGAATGCCTTCCTTAAAATATCATTCTGTATTTTTCTACTTTTGGAAGAGTTGGTAAAGTAGTGGTATTAATCCTTTAAATGTTTGGTAGAATTCAGGAATGGCCATGCCCGTGCCTGGGTTTTTCTGAGAGGTTTTCAATCACTAACTCTCTTGTTATAGTTCGCTTATATTGTCCATTTCTCCTTCTGTCAGGCAGTTTGTGTATTTCCAGAAATTTGTCCATTTCAACTGAACTATCTACTTTATTGGCACAATTATTCATAGGATTCCTTTGTAGTCCTTTTTATTTTCATAAGGTCAGTAGTGGTGTTTTTCTGTAATCTCTGGTTCTAGTTACTTGAGTGTTCTCGCCGTTCTTCTTGGTCATTCTAGCTAAAGGTTTGTCAGTTTTCTTGATCTTCTCAAAGAACAGCTTTTGGCTTTATTTATTTTCTGTATTTTTTTTCTATTCTCTATTTCACTGATTTTTGTTCCCATGTTTATTATTTCTTTCATTTTGCTTTCATTAAGTTTAGTTTGTCCTTATTTTCCAGTGTCTTAAGCTGTAAAGATAAGACATTTATTTGAACCCTTTTTTTCTTCACATATAGCCATATTATGTTTTTGTTTTCATTCACCTTAAAATATTTTCTAATTTTTTTTTCCATTTGTTCCTTGACCCACTGGTTATTTAGGAGTGTTGTGTTTAATTGCCATATATATGTTAATTCCCCAATTTTCCTTATGATTTCTAATTTTATTCCATTGTGACCGGAAAGCATGCTTTATAGATTTCAATCCTTTAAAGTTAATTGAAGCTTGTTTTATGACCTGGATTTTGATCTGTCCTGAAAATAGTTCCATGTATCCCTAAGAATGATGTGTATTCTGCTCGGGGCAGGGGGGTGGGTGGGAGGGGGACTTATAAATGTATATTAGATCTAGTTGATTTATAGGTTTTTTTTAAAAAAATAATGTTTTATTTATTTCTCAGAGAGAGAGAGAGAGACAGCATGAGCAGGGGAGGGTCAGAGGAAGCGGGAGATACAGAATCTGAAATAGGCTCCAGGCACTCAGCTGGCTTTCAGCACAGAGCCTGATGTGGGGCTTGAACCCACGAACCATGAGATCATGACCTCAGCCAAAGTTGGACATTTAACCGACTGAGCCACCCAGGTGCCCCAGATTTAGTTGATTTATAGTGTTCAAGTTTTCTATATTTTTGTTGATCATCTGACCATTATTGAAAGGGTATTGAAGTCTCCAACTAGTCTTGTTGAATTATTTACTTTATTTTCATTTCTAACACTTGTATTTATTTTGGGACTTTGTCACTAGGTATATATATTGTTTTTATTGTTATATCTTATTAATGAATTGACTCTCTTATTATAAAATATCCCTCTTTATCTCTAGTAACTTTGTTAATGTTTATTTTTGAGAGAGAGTATGTACACACATCATGAGCAGGGGAGGGGCAGAGAGAGAGAAGGAGAGAGAATCCCAAGCAGACTCCATGCTGTCAGCACAGAGCCTGACACAGGGCTCAATCTCACCAACCTGACCTGAGCTGAAATCAAAAGCCACCCAGGTGCCCCCCTAGCAACTTCTTACATCTATGTTGCCTAGTATTAGTTATTCCTGTAATACCAGAAAAAGACAATGG